TTATCCATTACATCTAATAACAATCACTGTCTTAGAACTTTGTTCTCATCCTTCCCCTACTAAACATGGGAGGTTTATTTTGACCTTCAGCCACTTACTAACGCCAGACAGGGGGAATGACCTAAAGATGCCTGGAGCTACAGGATGGAGGGAATCCTATGCTGACCAGTCTCCTCCCTGGCTGCAAATGGGTGCTTTGGGCCACATCATGCTAACCAATCACACAGGAAACAGGAGGAGCTCTCTAAGGCCCATCCAGGGCCACAGACAACTTGCCCTTCTCTCCAGATCTTGGCTGCTCTGTTGTCATGGTGATTCCTGATGCCAAGGAAACAGAGCACAGGGCTTGAATGTAATTGGGTGGACTGCCTGTAAAACAAGACCTCCTCCCTTCCAGAGACATGAAGAGGGCTCAAAGATTACAGGCAAGCCAAAGGATATCTGGGACTGAGAGATCAGAGAGGGAGAACTGTTACCTGGTTATCGAGAGATCAGTGGACATGGTCTATCATGGATTGGCTTAGTCATCTCCTCCCAGAAAGCTATTAGGTGATCACTTTCCTAACAGCTTCCTGCTTGGTGATTAATGAGTCCTTCAAGAGAGGGTAAACCATTCACTCGCTGACCAAGCATTGGGCATTGTGGGACTTAGACCTCCCCAGGGATTTCCATAGGAAATGCCGAACCCCTGAAAGAAAGAATCCCTTCATCGGGAGCATACCCCCAAGTTATTCTGCTTCTGCTGCCAGAAAAGACTCTCATCTTCCCACCTCAGCTGAGTGTCGCTCAGGAAACAGGAGGTCCTTGGTCACCTACTACAGTGGTCACAACATACATTCACAGGGATAGCAGGGAAAGTCCCACAAGGGCAGCAGCTCATGATGTGCACTGAAGCATAACAAGAGGAACTGACTGACAGTCACTTTAGGGTCACCCTCTCCCTGGCTTGGCCTAGTTAGGAAATCTCATTCACCGTATTACAACACTGGTTCTGCGCATCTTCCTATGAGTGGGTCTGAAGAAGTCTCTTGAAGGATGCATTGTGGTTAAGGGTATAGACTCCTGAGCCAGGCAGTCTAGGTTCCAATCCTGGCTCACTCATGTGCTGAGTGACAGTAGCCATGTTACTTGACCCTTAGTCTTCCTGTCTGTAAAATGGGCCTTTCAATACCTTTCTTATTGTAAAGGTAAACTGAGATGGTGCATATAAAATGGTTTAGTGCAGGTCCTGGAGCCTACCAATGATGCAATAATTGTTAGCAGCCACGACTAGGAGCAGTAGTGAGTAGTTCATGTGAAACAGCTGGTGAGGGAAAGTGAGTTATACAGAGTGAAGTTTTGTTCAGTGCTCTGTAATTGGCATGTTGCTTGGCAAACTCCAAGAACCTCAAATGGTTTTGTCTGCCTTCCAAGAAAACTGAACAACAGGTGTCTGGGTTGTCTTAACTTATTCCAGTCTGGAGACAGTCTGGTTTGGATTAAAACTTCCTGCAGCAGGTTTAAAAGCTTCCACCTCAAATGGCCACGCTCCCTGCCTGAGTGATCGCGTGCATGCCTACAATCTGAGTGCTAAATGAAGACCACATTCCCAGGAGAAACTGTAAGACACAGTTTGCAGCTGTCCATTGCGGGAGCCCCAGTGACATGGGGACTGCTATTGTTGCTTTGGGAAGGTGGGCTCTGAGCTGCAAGGCAGGGATCTGAGGGGGTGTACCTGGCTGCTATGGAGACGGTCACCACTTCCACAGATATCCCAGGAGACCAGGAGCCCGGGTGGGGAGGGAGACAGAGGGAATGAAATGGGGTTCCAACCTTGGGTTTTCAGATGCCTCCATGTGGGATACTTCAGTTCCAAAACACATATATTGTCCAAATGGGTGCTCGACTCACTTCCTAGCAACCTGTTTTAAGGGGTGAAGCTGATAGACTCTCTTGCATTCCCAAAGATGGTAAGTGTTGATACCAACAGAAAAATGAATGTGTTTGTCTCCAATGAGTGGCTGCAGGAACTGAACTTGTTCAGGATTGATTACAGGGAGATAGTAGCTATTTTTAAACATGTATTTTCTGAGTTTCCCAGGAGCAAGGAGGGAGGTTTAGCACAAGAAAGAACTCTCCAACTTCTAACTACGCAGTAAGGATTTATCACAAAAACCATCTGTGAATGAGTGACGGGTGACAGGAGAAGGTGTTCGGTGGGGTAGGAGGGTAGTAGTCCTCACAATAGCCATGAAGGCCTTGCTTAGAGCCTGAGGTTCCTTGAACTGTAAGATCTTGGAACTGGACGTAAAGGAGGTAGCCCTGATGTGGCTCAAGAAGACAGCGTACTATATTTAGGGGTGTCCCCTGGCATCACTGAAGCATGTCTTTGTAGACTCATTTGCTGTAACCTCTGAGAAATTCTGGGATATCCTTTAGGAATGTTCATCAGCCCAGAGGAAGATGCCAAGTGCCTCTCCACCATGGGGGTGGGCTGGGAACATACTGGATGGCATGTGCAGTTGGCTGAAAAGTCCAGAGACAAAGAAAGGGAAGGGCAAGATGACCAAATGCAATGTACCCACTTAGTCACTGGTGGTATCACCAGAAGTGCCAGAAAGGAAATATCCAGGACCATCTATAGGGCAGACAGCTGTGCTTTGTGATGGACCATTCATTTTATGGAAAAGGAAGAGAAAAACCAAATCTCTTGCAGAAAGACTCTGAGTCAAAAGAGAGGAAATTATCCAGATTCCCAGGTTATTCTAATCAGAGATTTCTTATCAGAGTGCCTCCAGTCTAACAGGGAAAATCCAATATATAGCCGCTGAACACTAAGTTAGATCTAATCAGGACCTGCTTTCCAACTGCTCACCAGCAGGTCAAACCCAATGATGACTCAAGACCGATGTGCCAGTTCTTTCTGGAAAGCAAACCACCATGAGCTGTGTCAACTCCTGGTCCTGACAGAGGGAGAAGCTTTGTTTCCCGCCCTGCCAGTCCATTCCACCTGCTCAACCCAGTGCAGTTCACCTGAGCTGCCTTCCCGGCCCAGGCAAAGTTCGAGTGGTTTTAGTAATCTTCTGACACTCTGGAGTGGGCACACATTTCCTTTCTTTAAAAATATGCCCTTCTAGAATCTTTGATACTAACTCTTCACTGTGCTAGGCTGATGCACATACGATGTCTCCTTAGTGTGCACAAGGACATTTTCCTTCCGCACACAAACACACAGATGACACAAGTACATCCACACCAGCCTGGCAGGGCACAACACCCTCCAGTCTACCTCCACGTGACTACCTTGGTTATTCTTCTTCCAGGGGATTAATGGCTATAGTCAAGCAGCCTCGTGGTAGCAGTTATAACTTACGATTTCTTTGCCAAGAGCAAAGAACACCATCTGAGAAACTCCCAGCTCCCTGGAGAGCCCTGGCCTGTCATTCTGAAACATCACCTCCGAGGCTCACTGAGGCTAAGACCTCTGAGCAAGAATATGCCCACACACAGACGCACGGAACCAAACAGACACGGAGAAAGAGACAGGGAGATGCAGAGAAAGAGAGATTTCTCTCTCTGGCTTTGATTTTGCTTTGCCAAATAAGCCTGACTATTGCTATGATGGATCTGCTGCCCAGAAACTTGCTGGGCATCTTATCCCAGCATGACTCACATTACTGCACCATCCTAGAAGAATCTGTTCAGGGCTGAGTCTTAAAGGACATGAGAAGGGTAGAAAATGATGGCTGCAGGAAAAGTCTGAGTTTTCAAAATGAGTAGTAGGTGTCGCTCACATAGACTGTGTGGCTTAGCGCCTTCCCTCCTTCTTTGTTCCTGCATCTCCTACTCATTCAAAGATCCAACTGGACACCCTGCCTTGCAAACTTTCCCTGGGTTCTTCTTAATTGCACCTGGGAGGCAGCAAGGCCTCTTACTGCCTGTGACTTGAAATTAATTTTAAAGCAGGAAGACAGATGTACACAGACAGCCCTGTCTCTACTCAGATGCACACCTCTGCAAATGTTTCCTGAATCCCAAGATCAACTTTCCACACCTACTTTGCTGTGTGATGGAAGGTGAATCGTTACCTCCCTGAGACCCATACCTACAGTGGGGCCTCAATCCACAAACTTAATTCTTTTTTGTGCCCAGAATTATGGAAAGAATTAAGTTCATGAATCGAGGTATCACTGTATTCTCCATGGCTCACAGGATACTCAAGATCCATTTCTGATGCCAATAGGAAACTGATGGTTACAGAGGAGACACGCACATGTACACACACACACACACACGAAAGTCCCACACCCACAGCACATTTACAGTACCTAATCACACACCAGAGGTGATTCTCTCTCATTATAAAATCTTAAAATATAGAATAAGCTAACTTCTTCCATCTCCACATCAGAGTTCAATTATCTTCTTCAAACATTTAAACTTAAATGTCCAGAGTGAAATAAATGCAGGTAAATAATCTCAGAGTTTAAAATTCGAAGCAACAAATCTTCCTTTAAATTAAACAAACACTTCCCCTCTCAGCCATATCGTGCCCAGATAGAGTCAGCCCTGCGACTCATTATGCTCCTCTCTAAGCATTTCTACCCGCCTCATTTTTTTTCTTCAAGGTCAGATCTCTAGCAGAAGGTCTGCTTTGGTGTTCATGCTAGAATTTAGCCTGTGAATATTTTAGTTCCCTAAATCTGAGCACACCTCTGCAAGATACTTCCTCTTGAAGGATTTCACTTTTTCTTAATCGATAGTGATTCATGCCTGGGCCAGGGTTCTGAATGGTATCACACAGGCATGTACACATTGACCTCTGCCTCCCTCTGTCAATTCTCCAGCTCTCTATCCACGTTAAAAGGGGCAAAGGAGGTGAGAGATGGACAGCTCAGAAATTTTTGTTTCTTTAAGATATGCATAGTCAAAGAAGGACTCTCCAGAGCTTGGATCCACGTTTTCAGGGAAGAGCCTTCAAAAGTCCCAGAGATGCAAACAGTGACAAGGTGCCTACTCACAGTAGCTGCAGGGACACCAGCCCGTCAAAGAGTCCCTTGGCAATCTCGGTGATCTTATTCCCATAGAGAACTCTGGAAAAGAGCAGATAACAGCAGTTACCATGATGTGAGGCCACTAGAACCCACTCATGGGAGAGGTCATCACCTCTGTCAGTACTGGGTGCATCTTGGGCCACCTCCTTCCTTGGCCTGCCTCATCCTTTCTCCTCATCAGTGAGACAGAGTCAGGCAAGGGCAGCCCAGGGCCGGAGGGGCAGGCTGTCCCAGAGGCAAGAGAGATGGGCTCCATCCTGCTTCACTCCTGGGCAGCCCAGCCCAAAATAGCATCCACACAGGAAGCAGCAGCCCCTTGTGGTGCCTCCCTGAGCTGCAAACATGACTCACACCCCAGCAGTAAATAAGCATGTGGGAGGCCGGCCAGCTCTGTGTCTTCAGTGGGTATTGATCAGGCTGAGCCCAGTCTATAGAATGTTTCCTTTTAATATCCCACTGTGTCCTAGGAATTCCCTAGCTGAGTCCTTTAATCATGCATCTAGACAGGGCTCTAGGTACCTGGGGGCCTCTGCAGATAGCTCGGACATTGCTGAGTCCAAGACTGGCTTGCAGGAAAAGCTAAGAAGCTTCTATTTCCATCCTTCTTTCCCATGCTTTGAAATCCAGGAAGTCAAGAACTCAGAACCCCCTTTCCCCTCTCTGTTTCAGCCTGACATTGCCTTTCACAAGTGGCATCTGCTATTCATAGGCCTCATTTTCCATTTTGTATAAGGCTTGGAAAAGGAATCTACTGGCTTTGCCTCTCCAGCCTAATGTCCAGTGTCTCTCTGAAGCTGGACCTCGTTGACTCCACACGGCAACGGAGACCCTTCTGACCTCTCTGCTTCTCTCCAAAGTGGACCTTTCTATCTCTTGGATGCAGCCTTCTCTCTGATCAAGGGACTGGGCTAAAGAAGGCTTGGTTAGTTTGTTTTTGGGAAAGTCCCCTCTAGGGGCCCTAAAGTGCATGGAATGAACACACTATTTAATTCCCACTTGGATCACAAATCCCGGCTGTGATACTCATTTGAGGAGGCAAAATATTAGGATGAGGAAATGGTAAATGGGAGCGATAAACCAAATCCCCCATTTCCAGACGCCACTGGGAGTGAAGAGTGAGCATCTCCAGCAGCCTGCGGGTGTGTTTCATTAATGTTTCAACAAATTAATGACTAAATAGAAGTCAGCATGACGGCTCGGGCTCACATTTGTAATTCATATTAATGTCCTACTGCTCACTGTGCCAAATGTAGTAATGCTGCTGTCTGCTCCTCTCAGTGGATGTCAGGACTCCAAGTGCAGCAGAAGCGGGTGAGCTGGTGGGACCGGGAGGCTTGGAGCAGGCAGGGGTCCTCATTCCCCCAGTCATGACTCCCGAAGGCACATCCCTGAGCATACTGGATCGCTTCACTTGCCTGTGCACCCACCACAGGGACACCTGAGTGTGATTCTACATGACTCCCATCCCCCGAGCCTGGCTTAACTATCTTCCTGCCTGTCAGGTCTCAGCCCCAGCATCTCTCCTTGGAAGCTTCTGAATATTTCAATTAATATTTTTCATCACCTATTATTCTATTATTAGTTTTTCCAAAGAGTTTACATTTTTAACTTTTATGTCACTCCAATGGCTTCCTTGAATTTAGGCTCCATGAATATGGTGACAATATGGGATTTGCTCATGGCTGGGGATAAAATCAGGGATAGAACATAATTAGCACAGCAAATACATGTTGAATGAATGAATGAATCAATGAACAAATGAACAGGTATCGGGTTAGGCTCTCCAGCTCTTAACTTGGCCGCATCTGATCTGGGATTGGATGACTTTATGTTCAACTGTCAGTTCCATGGGGCTGTGAGCCTTGTCTTTCTAGTTCACAGCCACATTCTTAGTGCTTGGAACACTACTCAGGACATGGTAGGCTTCTACCGAATTGATGGATGACTAAATCATGGTGAGAGGCGGTTCCCCTAAACAATGCCCAATATGTATTTGAGAGCTAGTTCATGGCATGGCAAATTCACGTTCAGCAACTATATTTTGAATGTCTTTTCTTGCAAGACAGAAAGGATTTCACTATCCTTAGGCTGTCCCTAAATTGCAGCGGAGGAAAAGCAGACAAAGGAAATGGGAATGGGAAGGTGTGGAAGGGTAAAGATAGGATACAGGGGCAGACAGTCACCCTCTCCCTTTTTGTCTGTGATCTCTGGCACACTAAGCAGACACTAATCTCACATACAGTCCTGTCTTTGATATCCCAGCCAGATGTTCTTTCCGATAAATGAAACTAATTTACTCTGCAGGCATCAGACAACAGCTGAATCAGAGACTTTCCTGTCCTCAACCCCTGCCCAATGGGATGTGGCCAGGTAGGGGGGTGAGGGATGCAGCTCTTGTTACCTGCTCTTTCACGCATTAGGCAAACAGGTTGCACAGGGATGAAAAACATGGACAGCTTGCCTCTGAGCATCTTCCTTGCTGCCCCAAGGCCCGGATGAGGGGAATAGGCCACCAGCTGATTTAAATGCTATCAATCAATGAAGACTTTACTGTAGCTTACATTTGACTTTCCACATTATATCAAGAGTTTCCAAAGCATGGAGATCAAAGGTGCAGGTTCTGGAACCAGGCAGGTTGGATTTGTGTCCTGCCTTTTCCAATTATTACTGGAGACGTTACATTTCCTTGTTCTAACATGATTTTGAATATAATCAAAGTACCAGGTTCAAGGTACCAGGAATATAGCCAGGCACAAAACAGATAAGGAGTTTTGGTTACTCAATTTCTTTATCTGTCAAAGAAGGTTAATAGATTCTATAATTTAGGTTGCTGTGAGAATTACATCCATTAAGACTCCTAGAACATAACTGGGTGTGTCACATGTCTGTAATCCCAGCACTCTGAGAGGCTTAGGCAGGAGAACCATAAGTTTAAACCCAGCCTGGGCATCTTTGCAATTTAGTGAGGCATTGTCTCAAAATTTTTTAAAAGAAACAGGGATGTAAAGCCCTTGGGTTCCATTCCCAGTATTGAAACACAAAATAAAACACAAAACAGGAGATTCCTAGAGCCATGCGCAGTGGTACACAGTGCTCAGTGAGAGCCACTGACTCCTGCTATTATTGTAAGTGTGATCACTGAATGTGGTAGGTGGGGAAGATGCCACTGTCCCCATTTTTCTGCACAGGCATAGAATGCTCACGTGACTCCCCCACAGGGAGCCACCCAGGAAATCAGGACACAATTGCATACCTTCCTGCCCCAGGTAGGCAAGCTCCAGTGGGCTGCTTGTGGGTTTCAAAGTTAAAGAATGGAAGGGAATGGAGCAGGTGTATATTCTTAGAACACTGGCCATGAGATTGGTCAGGATAAAATCTAAAAATTAGCAGGAAAAAATAAGCCCTTCTTTTGACAAGGACGCATATATGGCTGGGAAGCAAGGGATTCTCAGCAATAGACACGCGCTGCCATTCTTTCCTCCGTCCTCCCCAGAGACAGTGCTGCTGTGGCTTATGGGGGAGGGAGCAAGGACAGGGGCGAAGATGCATTCGAATTAGAAACCAATAACTGGGAAAGCTGCTGGGCACTTAATCAATAAAAATAATGCATTTGAGTTGTAGAAATATTCCCCAGGATCAATTTCCCCTGAAGAAATATTTGTTTCTTTTACCAGGTTGCCACAAGTGTGTTAGGGAGCAGAAAGCCTTGAGAAACAGCTCCTGGAATAATGTGGATGCCTGTGTCCCCCACCCCCGTCCTGGCCCCACTTACAGTGATGTGAGGGACTTCAGGCCCTGGAAGGCATCTGGAGCGATGTCCGATATCTGATTCTTGCTGATGTCTCTGAAAACATTAACAGGAGAGTCTGAGAGTGTGGTTTGAAGGTGATAATAGCCATCCCTAAGTGCAAATCGAGCAGTTCAGGCATTCAAAAGGGTAAGGATTAATTGATCAATCATGTAAGTCTTTTATTCATAGCACAAGAGAAGGCACCTAGACCATTCTTTTCCACTGTCTGGTGACAAAGCACATTAACTCTGTACCATTCTCCTTGGGTTTCAGTACATTCTCTACTGTACCTTGCCTCTGGCATATGTGGGTCTCACTTTCTGGTACAAATCTGTATCTAGGGACTTTGTCTTAGGCCTTGTTATCACTCAGTTAATGACACACATCAAACAGGACCCAGACTCACAGATGGGGTCCCTTTAAGCAGTGCCTTTTTGTCTTATGCCTCAGCAAATGCTTATGTATCTCCCAGAAAGATCTGAATCGGTGACTTCCCAGTGAATTTTCTTTCTAACGTAAAAGGAGATTAGGGGCAGGGATTTAAGCCTCTGTCTGGCTCGATACACCTCCTGGGATATTGTAATGTAGGCACATCACGGGATTCTCAAGGGACACCTTTGAGGTATGGGTTTGTCACTGGCTCCCCATGTTCCTCACTTGGGAGCAAGGCTAGGGAAGTGACAATGTCTGGGTCTTGGAGGATGTGTGTGAGAACGTGTTGTGTGACAGAAGGATCACTGGCTATGAGTTACCTAACCTGACCTTACACGTACAGAGAAACCCCCCCCCCCCCAGCTCCTTTGCAGAGGCCCTGGACTGCCTATTTTCTGTACCCCAGGGACCTCTGAGAACTGACCACTGCTAATGGCCCTTCATTCCGTGAGGGAGATTTTCTCCCCCAGAGTTATTAGTTCAGGGCTGGCCTTTGGGCTTCCATCACTCCGAGGAGAGATGCTCCAATTTTCTGTGACAACAAAACTCTACAGTTCTTTTGCTTTAACAAAATAAATCAATGTCTCCTTGCTTTTGTGCAGGAGAGAGAGAGCTAGGGTCCTTGCAGGTCAACAAGGAAGAGACAAGTGGATACTGAGAAGAGAGCAAAACTGAGCGAGCTGTAAGCAGTTGCCTCCAGCAAGGCCAGACATCCAGCCCCTGAAGCACACATGAGGGGCAGTATTCTGGAGACCCTTCCCTCCTCCACCGAGCTTCCTTGGCAAAGCCTTGCTACACCTTGGGCTGGACCTCTGCTCCCTTCCCTCACCATCCGCAAAGCCTATAAGTTGAAAGATATTTCACAGGTTAGGGCCTCTTCTACACAGCTGTCTAGTTTATCCCTTTAGCTGGCAAGATTGCTTCTAACAAATCCATAGATTGAACTCGCAAACTCGTCAGCTTACACCGGGCTTTTCTTCAGCGTTCCGTTTTTGTATAAGGGTCTTAACAAGCAAATACCCCGGATTATCCTAATCTTGCTCACCCTCTGTGTGGCTGCCAAGCAGAGGACTGCAGGCAAACAAACGGGGTTTGCTCAGATCAGACAGGAGAGAGGGTGTGTTTTGGCTCTTTTTTTCTCCTGGTCATTATTTGCCCCTTGAAGGTGCTCAGACCTCTAGAAGTCGAGTGGAAATCCCATGGCCAGTGGGCCTCTGCTTCAGATCTGGGAGGGCAATTGGGTTTTTATTCCATAATTAGACTTTTGGCTTCAACCTTCCCTATAGCATGAGGTGAAAGATCTGAGGGTTTTGGAGATGGTGGAGACTGGGAATTGAAGTGATAGTTTAGCTGGGAATTGACCCTATTTTGCTAAAAAAAAATATATATGAATGATTATAACATGGTGTTCTGAAATATGTATTCAGCAGAGGACTGGCCAAATCAAACTATTTCACTTATGCATTCTTGCACATGTTCATCATTTACTTGTGGGGAGGACATTTAAAATGGACTGTCAGCAATTTCAATTGTACGATTCCTTATTGTTAACCATAGTCACCCTGTCATACAACAGATCTCTTGAATTTCTTTCTCCTGCCTAACTGAAATGTTGTATCCTTTACTCAACATCTCTCCAGGTCACCGTGGCCCTCACTTCTCCCAGAGACTCTGGGATTTACCATCCTACTCTGCTTCTATGAAGCGGATTTTTAAAGATCTTTTGTGTCAATGAGATCACGTGGAAAGCTTTGTCTTAATTCTTAATTCTGCAGGAAGGAGACAGCATCCCTGAGAAGTCAAGGACCTGGAGCCACAGGTGACTGGACATAGTCAATTGAGTCCAGAGTGGGCACCTTAAATCTCCTGACCGAGTGCAAGGCTGTTCTTGTTTCACTATAATGGGTGCAGAGCACAGTGGCATGGGACAGGAAGGCAGACTGAGGAAGGCTGCAGCTGACCACTGACCTCTGCACTATTCCCTGCCCTGTCTGCCTAGAACTGACTGCATATTGTGGTCAACCTGTACCAATGGCTGTCAAACCTCCATGGGGTTCTACAATGCATCCCTAGATGGCCTGAATTGGTAGGCTGGGGTTTAAGGAGTGGAAATCTGCATACTTGACAAATCTCCAGGACACTGCCACAAAGAAGGCCTATGGGCTTTACTTTAGGCTGTGGTGGTTTACATTCAGATCAGTCTCAGATCCATCTCAGTCCTCTGAAGTTATACACTGGATGACCAAGAGTGGTGGCTTTCAGAGACTGATGAGGCAAGTTCAACTGCGTAGAAGAGTTAAACAGGAATTTAAGTGTGAGATACTCGGAGGTCCTGGAGTTGTGGAAGCCCATTCTACCTAAGAGCAATGAAAAGAACTCTACATATCACCTAGCTAAACAACCTGGTTCAGTCTCAAGGTGTAAGTTACCAGTAAACAACTCTGGAAAACCAGGCAGCAGAGTAATCTCTGGTGTTTTCTATTATCCCTCCAAATGTCTTTTCTACTTTGATAACAGTTTGAAAAAAATCTGGGAGTGATTATGTATGCAAGCATACATTCATGCTATACATATATGTATGTATGCACATATGTGTGTGCATGGGTATGTATGTATGTATGATATGGGATTCAATCCCGGGCCTTACATATGTTAGACAAAAGCTCTGCTGCTAATCTGTACCTCCAGCTTTTTCAAAATTTTATTTTAAGACAAGGTCTTACTAAGTTGCCCAAGCTGGCTTTGGACTTGGGGTCCTTTCGACTGAGCCTCCTGAACAGTTGGGATCACAGGCTCGGGCCACCCAGCCCAGCTACTGGAATATTTTTTAATACTTTATGGTGATCAGTAGAAATGGGTAAGGACAGAGCTTATTCACGGCTAATTCATTTCTTTAAAGGGAAAAAAACAGGGTATAGTTCAGTCACAGCTGAGGGAGAAATTTCTTTTGTCGAATACTGAGAATAAACCAATCACGGGTACCTAGGAGAAATTCACACTTAAGACTTTGAAATCCATTATTACCTGGGACTCTACTTCTCCCAAGCCATTAAACTTTAGTCTGGACTTCCAAAGTTCTATTAGTCAAAAAATTTTAAGTAGGCTCTTTTCCCTACTGCTATCCCCTTGAGGGGAAAAAAAGGCATCATAATAAATACTGGCAGCATCAGAAGTAATCAAAAATTAAATTCTCTTTCCAGGTCATGACAGAGAAAGTCTCATGAATTTTGAATGCATGCATCGTGGTAATTTCTATAGGATGGAAAAAGGATGGTAAAACACAGCAGAGCTCTAAATTACCTGGACTTCACAAAAAATTAGAGCAGTAACTTAAATCATGCAAGAGATATAGGTTGGGGCAGTGACTGAACTTGTCATTTTTCACCGAAATTACTAAATGGCTGCATAATCAAGCTGGGCTTTAAAAATGAATGGGGGTGGGTGCACGGAGCATGAGCTGGGGAAGCAGGGACACCAGGAGATTAATGACCCACGCTTTTAAATATTAAGGCCTGTATTTATACAGCTCCTCCAGCAGGAACGCTGCCAAGGGAAGGGGAGAAGTCCACACTTAGAGCTGCCTCATTACGGAGGTTTCCACTGCTGGAATTGCACCAGGAGAAAGTCTTGTTTGCTTTGGATTCCCAGGGAGATGGGAAGTTGGCTTCCTGAAATCGGAGGGTAAAGCCTACTAATGCCACTGTTTCACAGGGATGTTTATTTTTAACATAAAAGGAATCAGCAGACCTTGTTAATCAGCAGACCCTCCCACTCAAGGGAAAACAGTGAATCAGCCTGCGAGGCAGGAAGAGGCGTGGTCCAGTCTACACATACACCTGCCCTGTCTCTTTCCTGTGTGGGGAGCGTCTGGGAGGGCACAGAGAAAAGCAAATGGAACTGAAAACAGCGTCTTCATTCCTAGACTAGAGAAATGGTTTCCCAGCCTAAAAAAAGGGGACGAGATCTCTCTACCGAATCTTAAGCACTATGGCAATGGCTGGGCTGTGTCTGAACCCTACTTGTTTCCCTTCAGAGTGTGCAGAGCTGAGTGTCTCTGTGAGTCACTTGAGCACTGCTCAGGGTTGACAGGGATGGATGATGGCACCATCACCATGGAGGTGCTAAGGGCAATGATGTAATGGAGCTGTCACAGGCTGTGGCAAGGGGTTACCACAGGCTGGTGTCACCAGGGATTGATATCATGTAGTGGTGGCTGTGACACTGGCTACAGTCACCATTAGGATGTTGGGTTTGACCATAAATAAGTCATATAACCACGATCAAGCCAAGCCACATGATCTTCTTGTGAACTAAATCCTCTTAGGCTTCTTACTTATCTTAGAAAGAACAGAAAGGCCTAAGGGCTCAAGCGATCTAGGGCCTTATCTACAGCTCCAGCACCATTTCCCCCTCTCCCCTCTCTCATTCCACCCCTTCCTGCTGGTCCACAGACCACCACGCATGTGCTCCAGGACTTTTACTTGCTCTTCCCACTGCCTAGGTCAGTGTCCCCATGAGCTCATGCTCATCTCTCCCTTCATTCAGGTCACCTACACATAGAAGCCTTCAGGTAAACCCCACCTGAAATCCCATCCAACCAGCATTCTGCCTCCTTTCATTTTTCGTTTTATTTTGAGGTACATATCAATTTCAGAGACTTATTTCCTGTGTTCCTATGTTCTCCCCCTGGAGGCTTCTTGAGTGCAGGGTCTGTTTTAACTCCCTGCTCTACAGATTCCGGTGTAGAAGACAGTCACTGATACTATGCTGTGAATGTAGGGATGTCAGTGATGGTCAGAGAGACAGTTGTGGAGCCACTCAAAAGTATCTTTTAAATGCTCCTTTTAGGTCTATGTCTCTATCATCATAGACATTAAAAAGCAGTGGGGTTTTTTTGGGGGGACCACTGTTTCTCTTCCTCCCACACTGAGAGTTTTACTTTGCTTTGGCTGGGAGGCGCCTAGCTCTACCCATCTAAGCTCATGTGCCTCACAAGCTGCATACAATAATTCTGAGCCTTATCTGCCAGCATTAGTAGTATATCCTGGATCTAAAAATGGATGTGGCCTATCACCTGAGATGATTACCTATTAGACACTGCAGATACCCACCCTCCCCAGCATATGCACATACCACCACCATGGCCATGACCATAACCACCACCATCATCACCACTGTCATGAACATAACCACCACTACCACTACCACCACCACCACCATCACCATCATGACCATAACTACCACCACCACCACCACCACCACCACCACCACCACCATGGCCATGACCATAACCACCACCATCATCACCACCGTCATGAACATCACCACCACCACCACCAATACCATGACCACGACCACCACCACCACCACCATCACCCCCATCACCACCATGAAAATTGGGTTCGGTTGCTCCCAGGGGTACTCACATTCGCTTCAATTTCTTGTATTGGGTGAAGGCTCCTGCAGGGATGGATTTGATGGAGTTCTGTTCCAGGCGACTGAGGGAAACAGAACAGAGGACAGTCAGTTAGCCATTCATTTGTCAACGAGTGATTACTAAGGGTCATTGTGTTCTTGAGGACAGTCTGGTGTCTCTGATTAGAAGCCACACATTCTGGTGATAGGAGACAGAGAAAATGCTGCAATGGCCAGTGAGATCAGTTTCTGGAGTGTACAAGGGTCTAAGGATCTTTGGAGAAATCTTAAAAGGATTGTTTCTCCTTGAGGGTTCTTGTCTTGTTTATTACGAGCTGCCTCTAGAGAAAGCTGTAAGAAGTAGCCAAAAACAGTGCCAAAAAGTCAAAGGGAAAAAGGAAAAATAAAGAGATGTCCCATAGCCATAATGCTTAGCTATCATGAAATCATGTAACTATTCAATGAAAATTGAATAGTTGGATAGAAATTTCAACAGCTGACTTCATTTCTTTGTTTTCAATTGGCTGTTCTAACATGGTAGACCAGCAGTCAGTAAGACTGTAGGTCCCCCAGCCTGCTATCCATCACACTGCTTCTCTGACAACCTGAGGCCCGAAAGGCCCAGGCAAGATTGCTCTCCCGGGCTGCTGCTGGAATCTGTGGCTTCAACATCACATGGACTTCTTGAAATGCTTCCGCTCTTATTACTCTGGAAAGAGAAAGAGATGCTGCAGGCTCAGGGCCCAGGACTAGGAGGAGAAGAGGCCGTGAGGAGCAAGTCAGCCTTTCCATTCTTCATGCTTTGATCTCAAATGACTTCCCACCACCAGAACAGGTGTAGTGGGAAACCGGCATGAGCGGGAGGCGGGGTGCTCTATTACAGATGATGAATGGCACCCTGGTCCAGGCTGAGGACTCAGCATCACATTCCCATCCATCTCTCTTCTCCCCGAGGTACAGATCTTTTCATCACCTCCTCATTTGGCACTGATGTTCCCCAAACCCTCAGCTGCAAAGACTTAAAAAAAAGGTGTGAGTGGAGGGGGGAAAGTGGAGGAAGCAAAAGGGAGAGAGGGGAGGAATGGGCTTCCTTGGAGGTTATGTCTAGAGGATGCACATTTCTGGCTGGGCTGAACCCATTCATCTTAAAGAGTAATCCCCGCTGCAGAGTGGGGGAGACAGTTGTATTAATTTGTGCCTCTGCGATCTCATCTTCATTGGGGGAACAGAGTATTTGTTACTGGAACTGCTAATGGAGCAGTTTGCCAGCAATTTTCCCATTTCAAACAACATCTCAGCTGCTAATGTGGAATGGTTTGTCAGGCCTACCCATAATACAGACAAATCACTCTCCAGGAAAAACGAAGGGGAAAGGTGGGGGGAGGAAGGGGGAGGGCGGGTGAGAGGAGAGAGGGAGGATCAGGACAGATCATTCTTGGCTGCTAGATGAATGGAGTCTACAAATGAGACTGCCATGGTCTATTAACAATGTCTTTGTGCTCTGCTGGAGGGGGACAGGAAGGGTTCTTTGCTGGGATTGCAGCTATAGGCGGGATTTGGCTGGTTGATGGGCTCATGATGAGCCACCAAAGCTTGCCACAATGTTTCAGGGACTGTGGGCTACTGGATGCAGCCACCCACAGAGGAGCCTGCCTTGACTGAGAAGTTCCAAGGGCACTGTTATTTTCCAGTTGAGTACAGAGTTCAGCAGGATTTCTCAGCCGAGACAGCATGGATTTCTGGGGCTGCCGGTCAGGTGACACATGCTCTCCAGGAATCCTGTGATTCACCTGCCACTTTGGCAAAGGATTTCACTTGGCTGGTACCTCTAGGGAGAAACCCTGTATGTAATGATGGCAACTCTCTTGGCTTTTGCAGGAGGACCTACTGCTTCCTTCTGCAGGCCAGCAACCTCTGACACATAGACGAGGGTGGGGTGTGAGACATGCTGGTGGTTCTTGGTGCAGTTCCTAACGGATTAATCTCATTTCAGCGATGAGAAAGAGCCAGTGGAGGGATGGGCCAATGAGCAGAGGTGTTAATAATCTGTTGAAAGAGATGATCCCAGCATGGTCTATCACAACACTGAATTTTATTTGTACTATAATAAATAAGAAGAGCTATCATTAATGGAGTCTAATTGATTTCTCTTACTCTTTATGCCTATAAAGCCAACTGTATTTCTCCATTTTCCAGATGAGGAAATGAAAGCCTAGAGGGGTCAAATAACCTGTTTAGAGGGAAGGACCCAGTACGGGGCAGAACTGATGTCTCTCTTTTTTCTATCTGATACACTGCCACTCTACATTTGTGAAAATGGGAAACTGGGAAAAATTTCAGAAAGATGAAATATGGGTATAAATACTGTTAGCCCTTCGTATCCATGGGTAACATACCCACATTCAATCAAGTGAGGTTCAAAAATATTAAGAAAAATTGCATCTCTACTGAACAGGCACAGATGTTTTTCTTGTCATTATTTCTAAACAATACAGTTTAACAACTATTTACATGGCATTTACACTATGTTAGATATACATAATCTAGAGATGATTTAAGTATATGGGAGGATGTGCACAGGTTATATGGAAATACAACAGTATTTTACATAAGAAACTTGAGCAGTGGAGGATTTTTGTTGGGAGTATTTGTGGAGGGTCCTGAAGCAGCTTCCCATGGGTATGGAGGGAGAATTGTACATATAAAATATAGAAATGGAGCACAATGGCATTGCTTTTGGACAAAGAACAAAGAATTCCCAGCTAAGCCTGTGAACCCTGGCAGAGGGCTTATGCTGGACTCTCAGCTCCCCAAGCCTGCTCACTCTAGGGGTCTAGGCACAGGCACTGCCTGCAGTCTGCTGGCTTCTCATGCTGTGTGGATACTGGCTAAACATCCGTCCCTTAATGGAGCATCACAGCTATGATCTGATGGGAATTAACCTTGGCCTAGGACACGTCAGGGATTTGTCCAGGGTGTGCAGCTGGGAGTAGGTGTGACTAGTCTGTGTACCTTAGAGATAAAGTAGAGGCCAGGGCAAGGGTAACAGCAGCAATCAGAGGTAGTGGATTTTAGGTGCTGAGATCAAGCTACCAGGCGCTGTAGTGAGTCTTACATGATATGTCTAACTTAATATTGATGCCCCTCTGGGGCAGACCTTATCAGTTATCATCATCTCCATTTAAATATGAGAAAACCCAGGCAAAGTCACTGCCCAAATTCACAAAGGCAGGAGGAGCTACAGCTGAGACTCCCACTGGGCTTTTCTGATTCCAAGGTCCGGACTCAATCACTGAGCTTTATGGAACTTTCATTGTTTTAGTCCTTGCCAGCTCATCTGCTGGGGAAACGACACCTCTATCACGGAGCAGACCTAAAGTGTGCACATATATGTGTGCGTGTGGACATACAGTCCCTATGCAGCGGGGACCCTTGGTAGGTTAAGTGCATTGCTCAGTCCTGCAGCTTGAAACACGGAGGCAACCATCTAGTCTTCCAGGGGGAGGAAAAAAAAACTTCAGTGTAAAGAACAAAAAGCAGCATTAGCATTTGCAAAAACTGTCACATTTTGAGATGTGTCTGAAGCCAACAGCTGTTTTAGGTCTCTTAACTGGCACATGTGTTGCCCTTTGTCTGGCAAACATTCTTCAGGCTGCAAACTGATTTAATAGGAGTAGCATAAAAACAAACACACAAATCAAACAGCTGAGCATCTTTCTGCACCAGCAGAAACAATGGGAACATCTGATGGGGATTTCAGCCATTCACACTCCGCATTGATTCGCCCTCTTCCTCGGGTGCTTTCCTAATGATCTGTTGTTTGCAAACATGTGACTAAACACAATGTGTGTCTAAGAGTACACAAGCCAACTGATGCCAGGGAGACCGGCAGGGGCACTGCCTGTGCGGGCCACGTCCACCAGTTGCCTGTAAAGAGGGGCAGCAGCTGGGTGGTTGTTCTGGGGGGGCTAGCAATGATGATAACATAATGAACATCTACTGTTAATGGAGGGTTTCTATATGTCAGACCCTGTGCTCTCCCTACCCTGGCTCGCTCATGCCACTCATGTCAATAATTATGAAGCAGAAATGTTTTTAAAATACTCATTTTAGGGCCAGAGATGTAGCTCAGGTGTGTAGCACCTGCCTGGCGAACAAGAGGCTCTGAGTTTTATTTCCGGTACCAAAAAAAATAAAAATAAAAACCCACCCCAAAACTATTTTATAGATAAACTTAAGAAGTTGTGGTACAAGAGGTGAATTCGCCTAAGTTCAGGTAGCTAGTGAATGCTGACCTAGACGCGAATCTGGCTTGGTGTGATGCAGACAGTGCCTGGGTCCATAATTCCTAGGCTGTACTGTGCCTCCCATAAATGCCCCTTCCTGGTTTCTTAACTTCTCATCTCTGTCAGTGTTTGACTTTGGAACTCTTGTGAGGATGCTCGGGTCCTGCTGAAGGGAGACAATGCCTTGCTTATCCTTCCCCAAGTCATCTCGGGCCATTTGGTTGGAGACCAGACAATGACTCAGCCTGAAGGTCCAATTCCTGATGCTTCCCTATGCTTGGCACCGAGCTGGAGGAGAAGGTCCTTTTCAAGGTTGTGCTCTGAGCTCGACTTCCACAGTATCTCACTCGTCTCTCCCTTTATCCTTGTTTCTCACAGTGAGTCCTAAACTCTTCCACTGAGTTTGAATGTTTAGTTCACAGCAAAGATGAGGCTGGATGATCAATCTGATGCAAGCCACCTCTAACTTCTGTCTGCGGGATACCTGCAATCACCTCTGGAACATAGAGGTACGGATACGGCACAGATTAATTCTTCTGATCAGATGCATGTGCACAGATACCTACAGATGATATCTTTTTATCTTAAAAAAGAGCAGCATGGGAGTCTGAGACTAAATCATTCTATCATGCTGCATATGTGTACGTGGGCATAGGTTTTGCTTTCTTGATTCCATTTTTCTTTTCAGAAGCCTTCTGACACTGTGTTAACTTTCACACATTTTCTTCGATCTTCATGGAAAATTTCTAGGTAGATTATGATCACGCCCATTTTGCAAAGGGGGAACTAAGTGAAGCATGAGATGTTAAGAAATGTACCCAATGTTAGAGGCATAACGAGGACTCAAAACTTGCAAGGCTATTGGCCCCAGGGCTGTTGGGAACCACTGTGTTGCCAGCTATGCTGCTTCGTATCTACCCGTGTCCACCTCACTCCATCTCTCTGCCTTCGCCTGGCACAGGCGAGGAACACGGGGTGCTCTCCGCACATTTCCGAGTCACTGGGCTTTGTGGTTTCTAGACAGCACTGGCTCTCTGGTTGCTTGCTGGTTTATTTTGTCTTTAGTTCACTCTCTTTTTTTACCCCTTCCGGTGTGCAGTGCAGGTACCTGCTATTGTTAAGCAGCTGCCTCCTCATCTCAGACAAGCAATGTGATTGAAGGGCTCTTCAAGTAGAGTTTCCTCTAGAGCTTTTGAAGGCCCAGGAGGGAACCTGAAGACTCCAGAACAAAGGAGTGTGTGGGTCTCTTGCTGTGCCCCAAATCTCATGGCTGGGGACTGGAGCTGGTTCAGGGAAATATCAAGGAACACTGTGGACAGTGCCCTTGACAGAAGCTGAGTTTCGAGGAAAATCTACAGTGAACCATCTCACTGTAGGTTCTCTGGAAGAAAGCTATTTTTAGAGGAATTGGCTCTGGTATGCGAAGAGACCAGCACACACTCCTCTGAGCTGCCTTGGCTTTGGAAAAAAAAAATCTAAGAGAGTCTGCCAGATTGCTTTGCATGAGAGATAGGTACCCTTTCCAAATGTTGGAGAGTGCAGAACCTCTCCCAAGGTTAAGGCCACTGAAAAGAATCATTAGTAGCTCAGGATTGAGTAAAGAGAATGCAGAGCCTTAAATAGTACCAGGCATTCTTAAGGGTATGTACAAATCTGGATTCTATAGTTGGTCGTGGGCCAGAGGTGGAATTCTCAGTATAAAAAACAAAAAAGTCATGTTTGGATGTCTTCGGCATCATAAACCAGACACTGCTATTTCTTCTGGGCGTATCCTGCTGATTCAACTCTGTTCCCTTTTGTTTTCCTGTCGTTCCACTGGTCTCCTGATCTCCGCTTACTGCTAAGAGAATGCATTTTAGCTGCTTTGGAGACTTGGAGGCTGCCATGCGGGTCACCAGGCCTGACTGTATGGCGTCAGAAGCAGGAAGTCTCTTCCTTCCGCAACTGTTTTCCATATTACTACTTGAATCGCCCTCCACAACGTAGAGACTTGCCTCATCTGCTTCAGCTTCTCAGCTACGTTTCATCGCAAAGGAGGAATGAAACAAATACAGCAAGAAGAGTCCTGTGCAATCCATCTGGTAGACTGTGGGTGCCCAGGAGCAGGGGCAGCCTGATGACTATGTCTGCATACATTTGCATGAAGATGAGCTACTCCCAGGTTCAAGCAATGATGCATGTGGTGGCAAGCTTCCTTCTAGAGCTCATTCTCTCTAGCTCATTCACCACCTTGTGAAGAACCAGCTTTCTGTCCTCCCTCCCCCATCCTTGTCCCTTCTTCTGTCCTCCTCTCTTTCTTTCTCCTTCCTTCCTTCTGTATTGGGAATTGAACCCAGGGCCTTCGCAATTCGCTATCTCCAAATCCCTTTTTTATTTTGAGACAGAGTCTCATTAAGTTACCCAAGCTGGGTTTGGATTTATGATCCTGCTTCAACCTCCCAGAGCTTGGGATTAAAGCCATGTGCCAGCATGCCTGACAGAACTGACCTTTCTTTATGAGAAATCTGCATTGGTAGCTCCTGCTCTTAGACTATCATTGTCCCTAATAAAGTGGTGCTGAGTGTCATAATTGTGGTTAAATGAGAACATTCACTGCTAACTGAAGATGGCCTGTGCAGGCACCCTACAGCACACATCCGTTTAGCCTTCTTAGGAACCATTAAGGATACACCACTAAGTCTTAAACCTTTCAGTGGAGGAAACCAAGGCACAGTAAAGTTATTTGCACCCAGTTGCAACCCCAGGTGCTTGGGAGGCTGAGGCAAGAGGACTGCTGTTTTGAGGCCAGCTTGGACAACTTAGCAAGACCCTGTCTCGAAATAAAAACGGGGTTAGGGGGTGTTGGGAGGACGTAGCTCAGTGCTAGAGTGCCTTTAGGTTCAGCCTTCAGTACCGAAGGAAAAACAGGTCATTTGCAAACGGCCACAGGCAAGGCAAGCACTGGGATGTGAGTCTGCCTGAGTCCATGGCCACGTGCTCAATCACCTGCTTGCTGTCTTATACTCTGGTTGGGTCAATCATTCCTAGACTTTGGGATTTTATAGGTTCCGCAGTTTCTTTTACTTTTCCAGTTAAGTCAATGTATGTGTACACATAAATTTATGATTATATAATGACGTGTAATTATACACATATAGAACATGTATATATTCTTTCTTCAGTGGCCGTAACTAGGGCAGTGCTGGGGATGGTGGCATATACCTGCACTTTTAGTGTTTGGGAGGCAGAGGCAAGAGGATCTCCCTGAATTTGAGACCAGCCCAGGCTACACAGTAATTTCAAGACCAGCCTGAACTACATAGTGAGATCCTGTCTCATAAAACAAAGCAATATAAAAGGCATATGTAATAAAACAATAACTGAGTAACAAAATCCAGGAACTGAAAGGCTGTTCTCTCAAAGTGAATATAGAAAAATATCACTTTGTTCTAAACTTTCTCACTTTACCACGCACTGGGAAAAACTCCATGATAAGCAGACAGCCCTTTGGCAATGACTTCTCTAGCTTATCAATGCCGCTGTTAAAATTTAATGTCCAGATGTGAGCCCCACCATCCAGGTACGGGCTGGCCTGCCTAAGGTGCACCTCCAGAGTGAATATTTGTAATTTCCCTCGCCTGGAGACCTGACCTATGCACCTGTGAGACCTGAACAATGGGCACAGAGGTACGAAGCCAGCAGAAGGGTGGCCAGGCACAGGGCTCCCAAATCACGGCTGGGCTGCGGGCTGCTGACCACAGCTTGAGGACTTAGAGATTGGCCTCTTCTATCGGATGTGGGTTTGAAACTTGGCCAAAGGAAGGTCGATGGTTGCCAGAGAAAAAAAGATAAAAGCTGGCAGATAAAAGGAGACAGGAACTAAGGAAGGCAGTGAAGAATGGTCTTTGGGACTCTGCCATGAGATGGGGACCGGCAGGAATCCCATCTTGAATGTCCACCTTGGAGGCCAAGCGCCATGTTGGTGAGGGGAGGTGAAGAGGAGCGCTCCGAGGGAGGGGATCACGGGGTGAACTGGGCGACAGGGGCAGGAAGTGGAGGAGAAAGGTCCTGGCAGGGGAGAAGGAGAGAAAAGAGACAGGAAGGAGGGAGAGGGGCACGATGACAGGCGAACGGTGCAGGGAGGGCAGCCCGAGGAGAAAGGGAGCCTGGGTGAGCGGGAGGGGTGAGGGGGGCGCGGGCACGGGAAGGGTCGGCCCATTCTGTGCTGGGGGAAGGAAGCCTGAGGGCTCCACCAAGGCATGGAGGCAGGAGAACATGAAAAGCTGCTCCCTGCAGGAAGGCTGTGGAGGCACGCGTTGCACCCACTGGGCCTGGGGAGGTCAGCTTTAAAGCGAAACAGAAACAATGGCGAAATAGAAGAAAGAAGAAAGTAGAACTCCACCATGTTACTTCCACTCTAAATAGGAGTAAAATGAGTCCTTAAAATGCCTCATGGTCTGGCCTATCATTACCTTTCTGACTTCATCCTCTGCTGCCTTTCCCTTTACTTGCAGAATTCTAGCTATGCTGACCCTTGGCACGCCAAGCACACACCCACCTCAGGGCCTTTGCACATGCCTTCCCTCTGTCACACTCTTCTTCCAGATAGCCATTTCCCCCTCACTTTCTTTAAGTCTTATCTTTGTTTCATTTTCCTCCAAAGAAAATTTACCATCTTCCAGCAGATTTATATCATTTACTGTTATCATTTATCCATCTCACCCCCACATACAAAAGTCACAGAGGTAGAAATTTTGTCTATTTTGTTCATTGCTGCCTCTCCCAGTGTAAAACAACGGCCGCAACACAGCAGACTCACAATCGGCGTTTGCTGAATGAATGTATGAATGAATGAAAGAGCCAATGGGCCATCTGTTGGAATAAATCAGGAATGAGAACACAGATGGGGAAGGAAGGCAGAAGAGGAAGAGATGACGCAGAAGCAGAGAGGCCAAGGAAATTCAGCTTCTCCTGGGGGCCTCGATGTCACGATGTTTTCAGTTAGAAAGGGTACAAATAGCGATGTCCTCAGTAAAGCCACCAAAGGTGGAGGCCGGCAATGAGAACAAGCATGGTCCTTTAAAGCATGATCTTGAGGTCAGTGCTGACTGACACCCTGCTCATTCAACAAGGCCCTGGCTGTCTTCTAATGTACGAAGGCAGGCTGGGCTAGGATGCGCTGCATGGACAAACACGCTGACCGCAGCTCTGACCTCCAGCACACACACGTGACCACGCACCGTAGTGTCTGACCGGAGATCGAACACGTAGGACAAAAGCCTGCAGTGCTTTGAAATGAATGACTGCTCCGTCCCCTTCTCAGGCAGCGGCAGTGCTAGACCAGTTCAGCTTTTGTACTTCTTCCACCACAACACTGTTTTATAAAAGCCTTTATCCATGTGCCAAGGACTGTTCTAAGTGTTCACATCCAGTGTCTCATTTCCACTGTGGCCCATCGAAGGATAATTCTGACATTAGGACATTATTGTAGACGGGAAAACTAGAGCTGAAGAGCAATTATTTCCCTCTGATCATATGAATAGTTCACGGGGGAGTCTGGGTATGCACACGGGGTAACTCCAGGGAAGGTCTGGCCTGCTCATTGGAAAGGACCAGACAGAACATATAGTAGGCTTTCAACACCACTGCCAAAGAATGGGCCTATGTAGTATATGAACGAGTGTGGGTGGATGTGTTCTAATAAAACTTTATTAACAATCTCATTGTTTCTCTTTCGTGAGAAACTCAAAGGGTACACAAGGGGCACAATGGAGGATAGATAACGGGAAGTAGGAAGAACATATTTAAATAGCAAATGGAACAAGGGAGGGGGAGAGGGGAAAAGGAAAAGTAGGGGGAAGAGAATAGAAGGAAACAAATAGAAATAAAGAATTTGTAAATGGGGAGGCAAGGAGAAATGAAGGGAGGGGAGGAGCGTGGGGAAAAAAGAATCAAGATATATTATATGCAGGTACAAATTCCCTATAATGAACATGACCAATATATATAACAATATGTACTAATACAAAGCATTTTTAAAAACTGTATTTACAAAAATAGATGGTGGGAGTATTTGGCCCCGGGCTGTACCGTGCTGACTCTGTGCTCCTGACCACTGAGCTATCTTGCCTGGGGCAGCAAACAGATGCCTGAGTGGTTCTGATGGGCGGCTTTAAAAATCCCAATATGCTGATCACCTAACAGAAGACTGGTGGGGACACAGAGGTGAACCCACCTGGGACAGAGGTGGCAAATTGGGTACTTACATTTCAACGATGCTCTCTGGCAAGTTGGCAGGGATTTCGGTCAAGCCCTTTCCTCGACAGTCCACGATGTTATTACTGCAAGTGCAGCTGGAAGGGCATGAGAGGGAGTTGGCATTGCAGGACGGAGCCTCTGAATGAGGACCTGTGGGGCCAGAACACAACATCTATTACTCACGTCTGTGTCGGGAGCAAGCCGGCACCAGCTAGCTTCCCCAGGATGCAGACTTGCCTGTAAGTTAGCTGGCAAATGATCACCAACTGACATCTCTCCTCCCCTAGGAATCACAGGAGAGATTCTGACCTTGACCTCACTCTTCTCCATTTGTTCTAACTGCTCTGTGTCCTCACCCTCCCCGGCTTGTATAGAAAAAGGATTCCTCAGTGTCAGTCACTCAAGAAACTATGCCACTGGAATCAGAGGGCCGCTGAGACAGACAGCTTTTTCAGGGTGTTCAACATCTGAACGGTGCCCTGAGGTTTTGACTTTTACTCAATGGCTGATGAGTGTATATTCAACTTTTTTTTTAAAAAAATTGGTTGGAAGCCGCTGGAGATATCAAAACAGAGGGAATAAGATGGTGGATTTTCCCCATTTGGGGCACTGTCAAAATGTTCAAAATGATGTCAAAATGTTCCTACATTCACCAGCAGTGATACCTAAGCCATTTCCAATTAGCTTTTATATTTATAATACATGCAAATAAACTTCTTTCACTAGAAAAAAGGTAGCTGAGTTGCTCCATATTTTGGAGTCAGTTTGTCATCTCATTTGAGGTAATAATCAGTGTGAATTTAAAGCAAAGTGAGAAAAACCTATACAAATGGCATCCTCGGAGCTTATTTACAAAGCTAAACACAAATATATCCATCACTAATCTTACTCAGGATTCACAGTCACTAAGAATCTTAATGACTTTCTCTGGTGGTCACAGCAAATCCCAAATAAGAGAAACGCATTTACATATTTTAAAGACACTATAAACATTCCCATGCTTTGATCACTACCTCAAAGTGAGGTAAGAATCTCAAACACATATTTTTCTTGTTGTTGTTGGTTTAAATTGAGTGTTATGGCCTAAAAGGGAAACCCCATCCAGTGGGTCTCCCAGGGCCCATCTCAAGCCTTTTGGCTCTGGCCAGCAGTGGCCCCTTCAAAGTGTTTCCATATCTCCTCCTGAGCAAAGGGCTCTAGGCTGAGATCAAGCTCGGACAAATTCCACAGATCCCCTCTCTCCTTGCACATGGAATCCTTGGCTGGTGGCTCTTGGATGCAGATTAAATATGAAAGATGGAACATATCTGCAGGGAAAAATGATTTATGGTTTGGCTTCTGTTCATGGAGAAATTAAAGCCAGAGCGAATGTAGCTACAGTGGCTGAGACAGATGAGCGATCAGGCTGGGAAAAGTCCTCATGCGGACATGGAGGGTCCACCTCCACATTCAGTATGCCCACAACCCCAAGGGAAGACCTTGCTGTAGGTGCTCAAGTTGATGTCTGTGGGCTACTCTGGGATCTCAGAAAATGCCAGTCCAGTGCCCAGAGATTCTTATTGTTCTTTGAGATCACATACATATAAAACAAAAATTCTTAAATATCCTCTTAGCTGGGATGTTTGAGAACATATTTTCATTTGGCATACAAAGACTTAAAAGTCACAATGTTCCCACTACAAGAGCCAATGGAGACCTAGAAAATGCCAAAGAGCTGATGACTTACACTACAATCCCAATTGAAACATTCTCCTAACGGTAGTGGAGAGAGCACTGGAAAAGGATTCATATTTCTGAGAAAGTAGCAACACAGAGACAGTAGATCAGGAACGAGAGGGTGTTGTGGCAGACAGTGTGGCCTTTGGAATCTCTGTCTTGATCTGAATCTTGGTTCCATTCTAATTCTTATTTCCCTGTGCTTCTGTTTTCCCCATCCATAAAATGGGGGAAATCACGATAGCTATTTCACAGTATGGATTGTTGTGAAGCTGAAAACAAGGGAAGTTGATGCATGAAAAAGATTTAGAACAATGTCTAGCACAGAATAAGAAAACGCTTAGTGATGTTACCTGTTGCCAGTATTGGGTCTTGCTTTATCACTCGATACTTGCAAGGTCTTGGGCAGGGCATAGTACCAGTCTCTGAGCTTCTCTGTTTCCATCTCCCTGAATAAGGAGTTCTGAACGCTATGATTTCTGAAGTCCTCCCTGGGACTACAGGCCAACCGCTCCTGCTCCTCAGGAGCACAAGAGTAGAGCAGCAGACACTTAGCACAGTGTTTCCTGCTCCGCTCCACCTCGCTTAGTGGGCACACGGAGTAGCGACAGAGCGAAGGCTCCCATGTACCACTCATGCCCGGAGGAGGCCGGGAGCAGTGGGCCTGGGTCCGGGGCTTTTGAAGTGAAGTACAAGGTGCTATTCACTGAGGAAAACAGCCACACCTGTGTGCCCTTCATGTCAGGGAAAGTTGTACCTGGTCAGACCAGGCCAGGGGGCACTGCTACACCCAGCGCCATCCTGTTTGGGAAACACTGGGGCCTACAGTCTGAGGTCTTCCATTTCCGCCCTTTGAGGCAGAAAGATAGAAAGGCAGGCCCCCTCTTGATTGTCAGGATAGTAACTTGGATGGTGCATATTAGAAAATGTGGGAGAAAAACTTATTCGAGGCTCCTATTGGCAATAAGAAGTTTTGATATGGAGTTTTTTTTCCTTCCTCAAAGCTGCCTTTTCTGATTGCTGTGGAGGTGAATTCTATTCTAAACCAGGCCCAGGTGGCAGTGTTGGGTCCCCCTGGGAACTGGCTGGGCCTTTCCCAGGGTGGCTCTGATTCAGTTGGCCGCATGCACTCCATTTCAAGGGATGTTGTCCAGGCAAAAGTCTTTGAAAAAGACTGCTTAACCAGGTCACTAACATCACCTTTAATTACACAGAGAGAATCGACGGTAATTACAGCCTCTGTCAGCACCTTGGGCTGGCGGCTCCCCAGGCAGGCATTCATGCACGGGAGGATGGCGGGGATGTTATCCTCTACGTTCCAGATGGGGATGAAAGACAGGTTCGCTTCCTCTGCAACTGTCTTCCCCGATCCCTGGCAGTGGAACACGCCCATTTCACACGGGCCCGCGTGCCTGCAAGGGACCGGAAAGCCCTTCCCCTTCACTCTCTGTCTTGGGACACACTGAGACCAGAATGCAGATTCTGTAAAGACAGTGACTTTTTGGAGTCTTAATCATTCTTGTATTCTGCGTGCCTCAAACAGGGCTTGACCCTCAACACGAACTCAGTAAACACACACGGACAAATATGAGGATGGACACGTGAAAGAAACTAGCCCTGAAACTGGGGCTGAGCTAAAAGCTCACCCCCCAACCGGTACAGAGGTGCACGGTTCTTCTGGAAGGGCTCCCCCGGTTTCTGAGTGCCCCAGCTCTGGCACAGAGTAGGGACTGTGAAGTGGGGAGCTGAAGTGGTCACAGAAGATGGACTCTCCTGCCTGACGCTCGTTTTATCCACTGTGGCTCTCAGGCTGGCACATTTATCAGTCACCCAGGTTTACTCATAGGCTTCTCCTGCCTGCAATGTGTGGTGTCAGCAAAGCCCTCCCTCCTGGCCCTTCCCGAGCACACGTTTTGGGGCATCAAGGGCAGGAGGACACACCTACCCTCCCAACAAACTAACAGCACCACAATAAGCTGGGAAACAGAGAGGAATGAGAACCGCATTTCTGTACTGGGATAGAAGAAAGCTTTCTACCTGTCTTCAATGAAAGGAATATCTAGCTGGGCATCTGCCTGCATGTGTGTGTTCAGGGAATCCACGCTGTCCTCGAGTGAGCCCATCTACTGCAAAACAGTGGTTGCAAATCAAAGCATCTGAATGGACCAGCCCATAAAACCCCTGTGAGCTACTTTCTGCCATGTTTTTCTCATCAATTAAGAAGCACATGTGGGCCTGCTCTTTACTTGTTTAGTTTTAAATAAGTCCCCAAACTATATGTTCTTGAAAGTCTTTCGCTTCACTGAGGTGGAAGAATGTTCTCAGCCAGATGGGGCAGATGGAGATGCGTCTTCCCCCCGGGGAAGTCTTCATCATCACTTAAATTCTGGACTCTTTGATTCAAAGCCAAAGGTACTTCTGTGACAAACCAGGTGGAAACTAGTACATGCAATGTTCAGATGTCTCCCAAGACTCCCAGGACAGTGCCTGACATCTTGAGGGAGAGCAGGGGAGAGTGCTGGGGAAGGGTGATGTCGGCCCCATCCTGCTTGGCATTGATTACCAGAAAGAGGGCACTTGCAGACCGAGAGGGTAGGAAAGTATCCCCCAGCCAAATCTTTTCCTGGGACAGTTCTAGTGGCTGCCAGCATGGGCAGTACGCTATTAGCTCTTCTAACTGTAGAGCTCTCTCTCTAGTTCTTGGACAAAAAAAGACAGGCCCATGCCAAGGAGTTGGTCCCTGCCCACCCATAACCTCACCCTTAATTCGTTTTCTAATGAGGAAAATGGAGATGATGGTTACACTGGAGGCACATGTCCTGACTTGTCTGCCCAGAGGAAGGGGCAGAGATCATTGAGCTCAGATGAAGACAGAGCCATGGAGATGGCAAGAGAACAGAACCTCCCAAGACAGGACAGAAAATGCCAGGGACACTCTGGTGGCCAGGTTAAGTATAACCATCATTCTCACAAAAGCAGCTAGCACGTACTACACATTTACTACATGCCAGAGACTACATTAAATGCCTTGTACATATTAGATCGTTTGTCCTTATAGCAATTATGATTTATGTTCTTATAACTACTACTCCCATTTCATTGAAGAAAAAAATTTTACAAAGTAAAGATTAAGCAAACTACCTAAGATCATACAGCTACGGGACAACAGTGTTCTGATGTCTGGTCCGTTGTTAGTCTTTCTGTCTCCTCTCCCAGAAAGATAGCCAGAGAACCTCTGCTAATTGCCATGAAATAGAAAGTCACCAGAACCTCAGAGGAGGGAATTGCAGGTTCAGGGGCTGAGATGGACATTGTGTAAATGACACTAGCCAGGGGTGCACGCACTTCTGTTTCTTTCTGTCTGAAAAAAAAAATCACTCAGTAAAAAATAAATCTGATGGTTTCGTATATAGAAATAAATTAATTCCAGTATTCAAATTAAGCCTCCCTTCTGGCCTCTGGCCTTTCAAAAGCCAACAACAGACTGCAATGACAATGGAGCTTAAGCAGTTATGATGAGAATATAAATGAATGTGATTTAAATACCAGAGGCATGATAATTTTGGAAATGGCTAAATAAACCTAATAATCTCATTCTTGCAATGTTCAATTATGGTGCTTTAATTAAAACCTCCTAAGGAGATGGGTGGCTAGTCATGGCTTACCTTAATTATCTTTTTACTTAGTAACTAGTCCCCAATTTATATTAATAAAATGAAAGAAAAGAAAAGAAAGAAGAATAAGAGGAGGAAAGTCTCTTGTTTCTAGGGAGATGAGTATATTTCATTTTTAATAATAAATGAGGAAATATTTATGTATAGGCTATTGGGCTCAAGACTCATCCTAGGAATGGGAACACTCGGAAAAAAATAAGAGATGGCCCCTTATTACTAGAACATGAAAACAATAACTTTATGAACAGATACCATATATTCAAGGCCATGGGCTGAGAAGTGTGAAGCAGACAGGCAAACAATGCACTCAAAATAGTCAAAGGAAATAGGTAATTGATACAAATATTTAACAATAGCCATAAATTATGAACTTTGACTGGTAGAAACTCTCACAGAATAACCAGAAAAGGAACACATGGGAAAAAGAAATCCCTTTTGATGAAAAAAGACAATGATCTGCAATGTATACAATGTGAACTTTTTCTTTGGTCTGTTATCATGAACTTCAACAAAGTTTTGGCCTGAGCCAAGCAGCAAGGAGGAGGCGTGGCTGTGGGTTCTTTACCGCCCAGGCTCCAGCCTCTTTCTCCAAACAAGAGAAGTTAATGGAGAAACCCTTTCAGCACTCACCAAGTAGGCAGGTTCCATAACAGAAAATATGTTAACAAAAGAATAAAAAAAGGTATATTCTTGCACCTTGGTGAAAAACTCCCAAAGCCTTCTCAGGAAGAAAATAAATATCTTCGACAGGAAGGGTAGAGTTGACAGAGATGAATTTTGCCAAAGTGTGCAGCGAGCAAATTTTGGGGGTTAGCAGGAGATAAGGAACCCATCTCCAGGGCTTCTGTGGAGAAATGGCTGGGCTCCAGATGGCTGGATTTAATTCAAAGGGAGATATGGGGACTTGGGCAGGCAGAGCCCTCCCAGGCTGAGTGAGATAAAGCTCTTTCCTATCTCTGGAGTCCTGTGTTGGGTGAATTTTTCACTATCACTAAAGGGCCCGGGAAGCTTTCTTGTACCAGTTGACAGAGACCACTGCTAATAATGCCGCGGGCAGGGATGGCTTAATTGGTGCCCACGCCTCCTTCTCCGGAGCAGATGACCTCTAGATTTTAACAGAAGTTCTTGTCTCCAGGTATCTTGACTGAAGCCTCATTCTAGTTGAATTAGGGAAACAGATGGGATGGGGAAGCATTTGCAGTTTTGCTGCTTCAAACAGCTACTGCCAAGTCCAAACCAAACAGCCTCATTAGGAACCCTCGCTGAGCCCTCCATGGTGTGTGGGGTGGTCAGCACCTGAGTGAGGCCCGTCCTTCTCAGAGCCTCAGTCACACAGTCTGAATGCCCAAGAGGAAGCCTTGCTCCACACCAACTTCACTGGCAAACTACTTTTAACAGTTACAGAGGAGGCAGCACTGTTGGCGGGGTATGCTTTTCCCTCACCCTGCTAATGATGGTGGTGATGGATAGTCAATGCACCACTTCCTCTAGACCATTATAACTGACTGTGTCCTTTGCTAAGCGAACCCCTCACAGCATCTAGCTTTTAATCTATGGGTACTAGGTAATGCATTTAAAGAATTCCTCCCAGCACAGGGCTTCCTATAGGCCGCTGCCCTAAATTCAGGGTGGAGTTAACATACTGATGTGTGGAACCGAAGTTTTCACGTCCTCTAAAAACACCTGGCTTCATAGCAAAGGCTACAGGGACCATCATAAGGGGTGGACTTGACTTCTATAAACAGGGCAGGCATTAAGGATGCTCCTGTATAACAAGATCCACCTGTTAGATCTACCTTTGCCTAAGGGGGGAAATCTGGGGCATCCGCATTTCCAGGACCTTGGAAGGACAGCCCTTACTCCCATGGGTTTTGCATCTTACTGTTGGGTAAAGGGTGTCTTACCACTCCTGACAGGAAGGTACTCACAGGACAGAGTGGCATCCATGGTTGAGCGCTGCATTAAACTCGGCACCCACCTATAATGATGTGTTTTAACATTCTCTCTAATTAGTTTTTCTCACTAGCTCTTCGATGACTCCTGCACTCTATAATTATTCTTTCCCTGGCACTTATGCTGATATTGTACCCTTTGACTAATAATTACACCAATTATAGTCACTATATTTGAATTTGGTGGCTATGTGATAAACGGTTTTATGATACGTGTGTGATGGGAAGTGATTTCTAAGTGGGCGTCTAGGGGAAGCTGTTGAGGTGCTGCTCTGAGACAAGTCAAAAATGTTTTGGGAGATCACATGGTGTCCTGAAGTAACAATGTGATGGGAGGAAGCAGCACAGAGCGAGATGAAACCAAAGTCAGGGTAATTCTTACACAGTACAAACGCAGCCTAAGAAAGGAGAGGGCCAGTCTGCAGTCTGGGAGCACGTGCTGGGCTCAGTCAGTTCTCAGTATTAGAAGTCATCTGAGTTGAGAAAGGTGCACTCGCTCCCTGTGGTTTTTGCTCTGTCCTGCACACCACTTCCCCTGCTCAGCTTGTGGGGTCCCTGGGTTGTTAGAAATCTGTATACCTTTTAGAGAAATTCCCTACGGCAATATTGTTTTTTTGAAAAAGGTCATCAAAGGATTAGCTTTTCTTCTTTGCTACCATGAAGGGAAAAAGTAGAAGAAGTCAGTGAAAAAGTAAAAAGCAAGCAAACAACCAAGATTTAGGTTTATAAGCAATACCCTTTGGGAAGATCCGAGGTTCCCTGGGCACTTCCCATCCCTGGAAATCTGTGCTACCTTCAGCCCTGTGTCTACATGGCTCTGTTTCCTGTGATACAGAGGCAAACTGTGCCACTATTATGTTTTAATTACCCACAGATCAAATTCTTATGTCTGCTTAACACATTTGGTGGGCCTACTAAATTCTAATAATTAAGCTCCATTTATTTAGCTCTTACCAAGTGCTGTGTATTATGCTAAGTGCTTTATTGCATCATTTCTCTTAATCCTATCACCCATCCTTCGAGTTATGTGCTATTATTATTTCCATTTTGCAGACAAGTGGTAACTTGCCAAAGTCATACACTAGGAAGAGGCAGGGTTTGGACTTCCAGCCAGGCAGGCTGGCTCTTCAACCTACATTATCGTGTCTCTCAATTTTTGCAAGGATTTGGATGACAGAAGCATGTGTAGCAAATACTAAAACACCTCCATTATACCTGTTTCGCTTTGACATGTGGCTCAGCAAATGTTAGGTTTTCTAACACCACTGGACTGTGGGGCTTAACAGAAAGTGATTTTGGAGTCCCTTTAGCACCTTGTACCATCAAAAGCCTTCTTTCTGTGAATGCCCCAAGGAACTCCAGATTTCTTCAGGTGACAACTATGTACCTGGGATAACCTATGGGGTTCTTCTACACCTACCTCTGGGCTGGGGTAGGTGTTCAAGGTCCTGCTCACACTGAGAAGAGGTTGTGGGTGGCTGAGTCATAGCCCAGGAAGGGAGAGAATGTGGGCAGCCTCACCTGGACACACATACTCTTTCTTCTGTACATCCGCCACATTGAAGCCCCTTAGGTGCACGGGAGCCATGCAGAGTGTGAACTGGCCAATCGTCCTTCTCTGTCGCAACCAATCTGAGAGCCAGGCCAGGTGGCAGTCACAGTACAGGTGGTTGGAGTGCAGGCGCCTAGGAGAAGCAGAGGGGAAAGATGCCATCGTAAGTGAAGAGAGGAAGCTGCACTTGGTAGAATGATGTGGGCCAAACCTCTGTTGCCTTAGATCTGGGGGAAACAGTGCTTTCTGTGCTCCTGAAACGGAAGCCTCAGCCCTTCTATTGCCAAGCCACAAATTCTCTGCCTGTGTACGCCACATACAAAGCATGACCTTGGGGTTTTGAGCGAGTCCCATTTCTTAATAATTCCACTCTTTCCTTTCCCATGCAGGCACATAGTGGAGGGAGAGTGCCAATATGGTACCATTACGATTGAGTCAAACTTACAATGGGGTCATTCTTTGCATATTTTAATATTTTAGCTAACAGAGTTATAGATAGTTTGACAGATGGTTCTCAACCTCGAGGCCTTGTATGTTGTGGCACTGTGGCTTTACCTGTCAGGTCTCCTTCCTTTCCTCCCTATGTCCTTCGGAAACCCACTGCAGGGAATGCTGTTGGGCCTAAAACCAATCCCTCTGGTGCACACTAGACAAGGTGAGCAGGGCACGAAGATCCAGGCACTTCCTGAAGGATACACCTCCCCTCTGCCCTTCTAAGGTCTTGAAATCCATGACAATCTCTTCCTAGTGCCTCTCCCTCTTCGCTCAATTTAATTCAACTTTGTGGATTTGCCATTTTGACTGATTTAAGTGTCTCTGAAAGGATTTCCCAGCCAGTTCCAGAACTCTTTGGCTTTCCTCCTCTGGGAGCTGTGATTACAGATCAATTTCTTGCCCTTGAGTGAATAAGGTTCCCGGAGGGATCTGCCTGTTCCACTCCTGAGGGGGAATCCCATCTGGTTAAATGATTTGAACTTCCTTTCCATGACTGGCTAAGAATATTTAGGGGTTCTAAATATTCTTCCTCAGGACTCTCCATCAGGGGTTTCCAACACCCAAATTCCCTACAGCCCTAGGTCATTAGAAGGAGTGGTGGGTGAGTTTTAGTAGCAGCATGAGGCTTAGGTTTCTGAGGCAAATTTCAAATGCCTCATCCCAGACATGCTAATCAGCTAGAGTTATCCTGGGATTTTCAAGTGCTCTGTGTCAAGCCTGTTAATACTGAGTGGCAGCCTGAAGCAGTGGCTTGGGAGCCTATAACAGGAGGGCTGAAGGGCCCTTGACCATGTTCTACTCAGTGTACGGTCAACACTGCCAAACACGGGCCACGTGCAGCTAACTCATCTGTGAGCTGGCTGGGTGTTCCTGTGGCTGTAAGGACACAGAGTTCCAGCAGGCTGGGGCCAAGGGGGGCCTTGGTTGCCCCAGATCCCATTATTTCAGAGATTTGCTTAACCCATATCTCATATAAAATGTACTTTTTGGGGGTGTGATTTTGTTTTACAAACTATTAATTTTGATACGATTTTCTTTTTATATTTCAAAATAAGATGAGTACACTTGCAGAAGCTTCCAGGGCCTGGATACAGTGACTACGGGGGTTCCAAGACATTGTTCCTTTCCAGTTTTGGGGATCAGGCCACCTGAGCTGAAGCAAGCTTGGCTTCCTTTTAGCCTGTACTCCTGAACACAGGTGTGACAGTCGGAAAGGGGACAGGGAGAGCTCCAGGCCTGAGCCGGTGGGAAGGACCTCAGTTTCAGAAGGAAAGCAAGCCCTCTGTTTAGTCACTCAGTGGGATCACACTGTGTCAAGGGCAAAGGGAAAGACTGGTGGTGCATTTTCAGGTGGCGCGTTCCCGTTTCCTCCAGAGAGAAATGGAGAGGAGAGAATGCTGTGGCCAGTGAACCCCCCCTGGACACAAACACCGCATTGGGTCCTGCTGCGGGACAGAGTGGAACATAAGGCAGGCAGCAGTGGCGGTGCAGACTGAGGTGCAGCCATTTTCCAATATGGCTGGAGAATCAGAGCCGTGTGGTTAGCTTGGTAGCAGTGTCCCTGTCTGGCAGTGAGGCACGGATGATAAGATGAGGGAACGCACTAGGAGGCAGTGAGCACTGGTCCCTGAGGATGCTCAGTGCAAACAGGTTCTCGTCAGCTCTGATTGAGTAATGGAACAGCAAGATGAGGCTTGGATGAGTCAGGTCCTCATTGGTCTGATGCATTTCTGGGATAACTGAAACACCAGTACTCTCCCTGGAAGATTATGCTAGGTCGTTCTTTCTCAGTCCTGGCTTGCCACAGTATGCTACATCTCTTATTAAGCTTGCTACCGATCTCCTATTCTTTTACCCATCAGCCTAGGAATTTCTCCCCTCCCAAGTGGGACCACAAAAGAGATGTAACCCAAACAGTGTAGAAGCCACTCAAAGCCTCTTGTCAAAGCCTGGGATAGGGGCTAGGTTCATTTCCCTCCTTTAGGAATTTTATCCATTGGAAAAGCTAGCTGAGTTCATCTGGGGGCAGATTATTTTAGTCCACCTTTCATATCATGTTTGCGAGATCAAATTAAGCAATACCTCCAAATTGAAAGGAAAATAATCATGATGATCACGAAACTTGAGCTTGAACACTGTCAAGGATAATTCTAATGCTTTTAAGTGAGAAGACATTATTTTAATTATCTCCCAGAATTGGAGCAAGTTGTGACAGTGATGACTTGGAGGACAGTGGCCTCATTGGCTCTTGGGCCACGTGGAAGCCCTGGTCTCCTTTCCCTGCGTATCCCACACACACTTTCCTGCTTCTGCTCCTTCTGATTGGTATGAATTCAGGCCACCTGAGTTTGACAGCGGCTCTGTGCTTTCTGACCTTGACTTTTGGTGGTGATTTAACTTTGGCTCTAGGGTCATCATCTGTAAACCGGGGAGGGAAATGGCGCCTCTTCATACGGGTATTGTGAGAACTGAAACACTTCTTGAGAACTGTTCAGCACCAGGTCTAACACACAATGAACCACTGCAGAAATGTTTATTTCTTCAGAGGAGTTTGGTCCAGACTTCAGTCTCTTCCTAATCCATGGACTGTCCATACAAATCTATAGTTTCTTATTTAGACACCAAAGCATCAAGGTGTAAGGAGGTTCCTGCATGTTGTTTTGCAACCTTTTGTTGATGGACACATCATATTCCATGTTGATGAAACCAACTTTACAGAACATAAGGTGAATGAATACAATTGCCAATTTACAAAAGGTGCCTTTTAGCCACAGACGCTAAATTAAATTTCCAGCAAATCCTTTTAGAGAGGGTCACTGTTCATTTTCTATAAAATGTGACTTTCTGAATTCAATATAAAAGCTTTCCTTTGGAAATCCCATTTATGACTTCCTTCCTCTCTCCTTCTCCCTCCTCCACCACTACCACCAGAGCTGCCCCCTCCAGTTTAATTACAGTGAAGGGGGATTAGTCAGCTCATCTCCAGGGAGTTCCATACAGAGCCATCTCTGAAATTAAACTAAAGAGAAAATGGCAGCAGGCAGGGCACAAAGAGAGCAGATGACATTGACTGATTGATCTGAACTCATCAGATGAATACTCAGGACCACAGAGACGAATCATAGCAGAAACAAGGTGATGAAACCTTCTCGCCCTCTTCTCCTTCCTCAAACAAAGCACTAAGATCTAAGCTCAAGCATCTCCTTCTCACTCCTATGAACCCAGCCTTGTTCTGTTACTGTTCATCCTACACTGAAAGTAATGAGGAGAGAAAGTACAAAATATGGAGGATGGGTTCAAGAAGCTGGGACCCTGCTCTCTGCAGATGAGAACCATTTTTCTTCTGTGTACCCATTTGTCTGGGTTGGTACAGGCTCAGCATCCTGAGACTTACTTCTGGCTTCTTGCCTAGTGGGAGCTCTGGGCTACATACTTCCCTAGCTGAACTGTGGTTTGCCAGGGACTTTGAAGATGTCTTTGAAGACCAAATGGTTTCTCCTTAAAATTCTACGAATGCACCATGCCATTTTAAGAGACAGGGAAAAGGACAGATTCTCCTGGCTGAGGTGCACTAACCCTGGAGGAATACAGGGGAAAATCTGAGGAGTGAATACAGAAGCTTGGCTTGAATTATTATTACTCTGCATAATAACTAGTATTTGTTGTGCATATACCATGCACTAGGTACTTAGCATATTAAAGCACATTTTATTTTCAATGACTATGAGGTAAGTATTTGTTAACTCACTTTGCTTACTAAAAGGATGAAGAAATATGCCCAAAGTAAGTGTCAGAGCTTGCATTTTAATGTCAAGTTCTGTCCTTAGGGTGCCCTGCACTGCTCCTTATAAACTGCCTCCTTGGTCTTTGTTTCATCATCAACTTCAGATAAAGTCATCTTTTCATAAGCGCAGTAGCTCTCAAAATATATCAGCACATAAAGCTCCTGGTGGGCTTGTTAAAAGTACACTGTGGTGTGCCCACTGTGATCCTCACTCCATGGTCTGGGGTGGAGCCTGGGGATTTGTGTTTGTAACAAATTCCAGGTGATTCTGATGTTGCTAACCCTAACCACTGGACTAAAGAGTTTCAATTCTCAAGGATCCCATGTTGCTTGCTGAACATAGGAAAGCTGGTTTGAAAGGTTCAATTTAGATTTATATAAACAGTACAATGATAATAATGTTATTATCAATGTCATTATCTACCTCATGCCAGATACTGAACAAATCTAATTCCATCTGATCCTCACACAACTCCTATTTATAGAAGAGGGAAGAAGGTCACAGAGTTAATAAAGGGCCTGGTAGGATTCTCACTCTTCACATTAGGTCCAGCTGTATTTGGTTGAAGGCTCTCAGGAGCTTGATCTTTCCTATGACTGGGAAGCAAACGCCACTGAGGCTGTACCAACACAGAACAAGTGACAATCATAAGAAGTTGGGAAAGGCAGCCAAGTCTATCTGCATAGAAACCCACACAAGGTTTTCTCATGAGCGTGGAGGAGGGTTCCCCAGGTAGCAAGAGTCCCAGAGACACTAGAGTGCCAGGCATCAGGGGAGGTTTACTTCCTGAGACACTCATCAAGACACTCATAAAGATAAAGAGCCAAGTTTCCACACTCTAATATCAGAATAACTGTCCAAGCAGCAGGTGAGCAAGGAATGCAGGGTGCAGGGCCTGGGGGGATAGAGAAGGAGCAAAGGACTGTCTGCCAGTCCTAAACAGGGAAACAACTGCCACTGCTGGTTTTGTGACAGAAGCGCCACTGCTCCATGACCTAAGTCAACGGCGAATCCTTAAGTTACAGTTCTCTATGTTCTAACCAACTTTCTATTAAAGTGGAAAACACAGTGAACAATGCAAGAAGGTTTCCACAGTCCTGGGAAAAGAGCAGTGAGTCTTTCTGGCGCAGAACAGTGCTTGAGAATCACGGGCAGCACAGTAAACTTCCCCCGAATCATTCGGCATTCACTAATTTATCTTAGAGTTAACAGCACAACTGGAACTTTGAACGCTGTGACCACTTGCCAAGTAATGGAGTGGCAGGTTTGGGAAGCACTGTAGAGCCTGCACTCTGAGCTAGTTCAGGCCAGGCCAGGCAGGGAGGGGCAGGGTGCTGTACTCACAGAGTCCGGATCTTTGGCATGTGGTTGAAGCTGGTGACCAGGATGCGGCTAATGTTGTTGTTGTTGAGTGTGCTGTGGAAAGAAGACAAATGAAATGGTCATTGGGAGAGCAGACTGGAGAACCCATGTGTTCACAGAACAGAGAGGGAGGGCTGTGACTGCAAAAGGACCCTACTTACGTCTACACTCATGAATGAGTCAGCAACAGGGCTCCAGATGATGACAACAGCACCCTCTTCCTCCTTCCTGCTTCCCTGGTTCTTAGTCACCCTGAGTGATAATTTCCCTCCCTGAAATTCTACCATGTGCTCAGTGTTTCATTATAAAATCTCTAATTCTTATGACAGTGCCAGTTACATGTTATTGTCCTTTGTTTAGAGAGAGAGAAAAAAAACCCCCAGATGTATGACATCTTGCTCCATGACATACAAGCCTACAAAGCAGACCTGATGCTTGTATGACGGATGAAGTGATGGCGCTGCAGAGTGGCACAGTGACTTTGCCAAGGACCACACTGCTGGGCTCTGCAGAGCAGACCTGCATCTGGCTTTCGTTCACTCCCTTCTTGCTTTGCCCTTGTGCATGTTGTCTCCCGCCTGATGTTGTGTAGAGGTTAATATGTACTTTCCAAGTATATTCTGACTTTTCAAACATGTCTTATCGAAGGAGTGTGGGAGCTTGGTGAAAAGAGCTAAGTCTCCTCCTTTCTCTGCAGCTCCTGACCATGAATGCAGCTCCTCACGCAATACTGATACTGATGATGGGCACTGTTACACAGGGAAAAGCAAAGACCAAGATAAGAGCTTTATGAAGGGATGGGGTGAAACAAGGCTGCTGATAGATGACTAAAGCTATCTGCAAGTACTTCCCAGGCTTATCCTTCTGGAGGGAGCATTATGAAAGCTAGCGGGACCATCTGTGGAGGCCGCGGCACTATGAAGCAGGAGGGCCTTCGTAGGTCAGCTGATTCTGTGACTCTTCAATACAGAGGTGACAACTCATGAAAAGACTGGCCTGGTTCTCAGCTCTCTGACCCACAGCTGCCTCACTGTGTACCCAAAAGAGCAAAAGTTGGATACAGCCTGCAGTGGTAGCTACTCACCCCTGGGTCCTTAATTCCTCTGCTCCTCTCAGGGCCACATCACAGATACTCTTCTCACCAATCCAACAAACCTCACCTATCCTGAGCCGCCTGTGGTCCCCAGTGACCCAGCAAGATTCTTGGGAAGCTTTCATTGCTAAGTAGACTTCTTCTGTCCTGGGATCTTAGTAAATATATCATCTTCCTGTTAAGTGGCCTCTACAATATGAGCTCGGCGAGGACCTTTTCCATCTTGGGCATTACCATAGCCCATGACCTGGTCCATACATGGTCTGAATTGAGTCTCCTAGTTCCTTGCTATATCGTGTTGTGCAAGTCATTGACACCTCTTATTTACAGATTCTTTATCTGTGGAAGGAGGCAGGTAGTGGCACCTACCTCATAGGCTGGGAAACAGACACCACCATCTTAGTAACACTGGGGGAATCAATTCTTGTCCTGGCCATTTTTATGCCCTCATCCCTCAAGGAAATAGAAACAGCTTTATTCAGCCCATAGTAACTCCCATACCCACCCCACACGAGGAATGTACATGGGTTCTTCCTCTGACACCTTGAGACCCTAGTCTGAAGGATTCCAGTGATTCTCTCTCGCCAGCCCAGACTAGTCCTCCAGTCCCCTGGCCTACTCATTATTTGATTGGCTAAGACCAGAAGAAAGTTTGCTGACCCGGAAGTACAAAGTTTTCCTCCTTCCTTTCTACATTCACTGTTCACTTGTCATGTGTCTGGCACTAGGGAGGTCCACAGGATGGTGGACAGGAAGGAATGTACCCAATTTACACTGTCTGCTCCTTCCTGGCCTGCAGCTTTACTGCTTATATAAAACCTGGCATTTTATGAAGTTGATTTTGAAGTTCAGTGTGGCTCAGTCTTTCTTCTCTCATCTCTCTGTGGGGAGTAACCATCCTGTCTTTATCCACTCACAATGCCTTCGGAATATCTCATCAGATAATCCCGAGGAGTTTATTCTCCCTTTGGATTAGGTTCTTCTCCACTGGCTTAGGAAAGTCACTAGGACAGAAGTGATGCTTTCAGGGATCATAGACCTCCGAGATCAAGACTCCATAATTGGGAGACACCTCATTAGGGTGGCTCACGGACTCCCAGACAGAAAACTGAGCATCCTCTTTATCTCTGAAAGGCAACAGGTGAGAAGCCGGTGCAGAGAGGCAGCTTCTTTTTGACCCTGCCCAAACACTCACAACTGTGTGGAGTCCCCAGCCCACCCTCATTTAGCTGAGTACACAGCACAGTTCTAGACAGGGCTTCATCTGGAACTGCATCCGGCAGTAGTCTGGCAGTGATGACTTATTAATGTATTACTACACTGATATTTAAATGTGAGCCATAATGAGAGCTATAAAACATTTACGATAATAGCAATTATTCCAGAACCCAAATGACTAAACACAGTACTCAGGCGCTCTGATTTGCTGCTGAGGACTGGCCAGCCGAGGGATGTCAGAGGGCTTCTCGCCTCTTAGACACTGACCTCTCTGCAGCTGCGTTTTCTGTTTCCCTGAGAAACACAGATTTATTTGATGTCTAGTCTTGGCAGCTTCTGCCAGTGCAGAGAGCACTGTGGCCTGTCTGGTTCTCGTGTCCTGTCTAAGCAGGCAGCATTCAATGGCACAATGGATGTTACGTCCTTCAGACAGAGTTGACTAGCATGGTCCTCTGTGGCAGAGTCCTGGTGTTGAATCTGGATCTGCCACTTACCTCCTATGTTGCCATGGGTAACTTTTAAAAATATTAAGTTTCCTACTTTGTAACACCGAGAGAAAAACAGCACTAATCTCATCGAACTTTAGTGGCCATTAAATGAGATGGTATTAATAACCGCCAACGTTCACTGAGCGCTTTTCGTAGGTCAGACAACCTCTGAGCTGAGGATGCTATAGTGCGCCATCCCATTTAATTTCTCCACTGCTCCATGAAACGGAGACTTTTGTTATCATCTCTGTTGCAGGGATGAAGCAAGTAATAATGCTAAGATTTGAATTTAAGCAAGCAAGCCCAACTCCAGTAATGAGGTCTGTATAACTTTCCTGCTGCGCCTGTAACAGATGACCATGAATTTAGTGGCTTCATTTTATTCTGTTACACCCTGAAGGTCGTAAGTTCAAATTGAGTTCATGGAGCTGTGTTTCTTTGGAGGCTTCAGGGAGAAGAATTTGCTCACTGGCCTTTTGCAGCTTGTAGAGGTCACCCTCTTCACTTGACTTGTGGCCCTTCCTTGGGTCACTCCAACCTCCTGTGATCTCCTGTGCCCTCGTTTATTAGAGTTAGAGTCTTCCAGACAGTGCAAGATAATCCCCACTCCTCTGGGCTCCTTAATTTAATCAAGCCTATAAGGTCCCCTTTGCTACTGAATATAATATTCACAGGTGCAGCCAGAAATGATGCCCTTGAATCAAGGCATGTAAAGCCCCGAGTACCTAGCCTGGCTCATATTCAACATCCAATAATAATTAGCTGTTGTTACTATAGCCTGTGTTTGTTTAGTCCTTTAGAGTTTGCAGCTTACTGTCACAATGTCACATTTGTCTCATCTGATACTTGTAGTATTCTGAGGTTGGAATCATTTCCATTTTAAAGATGAGTGATTTGAGGCCTAGAGAGGCTAAGAGACCTAACCAACGTAGGACAGGAGAAGCTCTGGTAGATTCAGGACTTGGTGATTTTCTTTACACTAGATTTCCCCTTGCCTCCTGCTTTTAGGGCCAACATCACTGTAGTATAATCCTCTGTACATCTACCCTGGTATCCAAAGCTAGAAAAAGCTACACAAATTCCCTTCTTACTTCCCTGAAACTTCCTGAGAATTAACCAACAGAAAAACAAAAGGTTCATTTGCATAGTGACATCACCCCACGGCTCCACTGGGCTGCTGGTCCATTTTAGGCCATGGTGACCTCAGCCACCTCATCCTCTTACCTCCATCTCCTGGAGCTTTGCTAGCTCCAGAGTCCACCTCCAAAGCCAAAGCTACGCTGTTTTGGAGATACTTTGAGCAAATACACTGTCCTCTCCCTAGATTTTCCAGGCAGCATTTGAAAGATTTTCCCTAAGTATTCTGAATTCGGCATTTTCCATCAGGTTTTAAGTTGAAGTTCAGGGTCAAATTAATTCAGTAAACCTCAGCATGGGCTGGTTTCCCTTTTCTTTACCAATCACAAGCTACTGAATGGACATTTTAGCATGAACTGGAAATAAAGCCAACTCCCTCACCCTCAGCTTGGAAAGATAGTCTGCCTATCTCCCATTTCTCTCTTACAAAATCCTTATCCCATTTATACAGGCTGTTATTTATACTGAGGCTAAATTTGTATGCTGTGCAGTTGCTCTTTGACTTTGTCATGATTGGAGCATAAATTCCTAATGAAAACTAATCACTTTCCACATTAAAACAATTGGACAATGCTACTCCTCCCAACGGATCTCATTTTTTCTTGCCTGTTAGCACTAGAAAGGATACACTAAAATGTTTTGTCTAGAGCACAAAGCACTGCTGAACTTATTATTGCTTCCATAGTACACAAATAGTACCTTTTTGCCCTGAAAGAGTTTGTGATTGCTCAAGTTACTCAACAAATAAAAGGGTGCCATGGCAAGATGAGAGAACCCTAGTAATGCATCAGGATCTGGTACATCTAGTAGTCAGCACCCCAAGTTGGTGACTATAGCTCATAAGCCAAATGCCTTCCCATACAGACTGGGTGGGTTTTTTGTCCTTTAAATATGACATTTAAAACAATGTTCTGTTAGCACATATTTGCAATACATGATATTTGCATTCATCTTAGGGAGTAGGTACAGCCTTTTTTTTCCTCAATAAAGTTTTATTCATTCATTTATGACTGATTTTATGTGATGATGGCTGAGCAATTACAATAGAAAACATATGGCCTGAGAATCCTGAAATATTTACTATTTGGCTTTCCATAAAAATGTTGGCCAGTCCTTGG